TTTGTATTTGTACTCTTTCCAAACTGAGCCATAGGGTCACTTTGGAAAGAGTATAAATACAAATATATATAGTACAAATACATACAAAATAATAAAAATACAGGGTTTAAATGTTTTATACTCTATAGTGTAAAACCTTGTATTTGGTATTCTTTTGTATTCTTAAGCCTTGTATTAGCATTGCACATATTTGTATTTATACTCTTTTCAAATTGAGCTTGGAAGAGTATAAATGCAAATTTGTATAATACAAAACCTTGTATTTTGTGTATTATTTTTTATTTTTTTAATCTTGTATTTAAACAATATATATTTGTATTTGTATTCTTCGCAAACTAAATTCATCCAGATTGTTTAGAACATTTTGTATATGCTATGAAAATGAACAGGTGTTATAAAAATAAATGACCTACTTTTGTTAAGGGTATGTAGCTTAGATGGTAGATCGCTCGCTTAGCATGAAAGAGGTATAGGGATCGATAACCTGCATCTTTATCTTATTAATTTTGCAACTGCCAAATAGTACAACTAGAAATCTTTTGTAATTGTACTATTTTTTGGGTGCGTTTGGTTGGAGTGCAATTTTATTTTCACTAGTATAAAATTATATATAAATGCATGGGAGTGCAATTGAAAAGAATGCAAATTCTCATTTAATTTTGTTTAGGGTTTTACTTTATTCTGCTTCATGTCATAATTTACTTTATTTATACTGCAACAAAACATATTAAATTAAAATTTAAAACAAAAATAGATCAGAAAATGGTGTCAAACACAACCTTTTGGAAAATTAACCTCCACATTTCGCCTTCTTTAATCTAGGCAATGTTTGGCATTGATGCTGTTTTCTGAGAAAATGGCACCACATCAGAAAAAGTTGTGCTTCATAAAACAACCTCTTATTTGGTATTGTTTTTCTAGAAAAACCGTTGCTTCAGACCACGCTTTAGAAATTGGGAAAGTGTGGTTTGAAGAAACGTGAAACTCAATGATGTGGCACTAATGTTGTAATATGATTAATACTAAAAACGGTTCTATAACATTGGTACCAAACAAAACCAATATTATTTTCCCAAAAAACAACCTAAATGAATGGTAGCACCACTTCTAAACAAATAATAAATACTTACAACTCAAACATACGCAGCAACATTTTATGAGAAAACGGTACTGTATTCCCAGCACCGATGCCAAATACTTACCTTTTCTTACAAAAAGAAAAGAAGTTAGCTGGTGGTGAGCAATAAACCAACACAGTTGGTATTAAAAATCCACTTCAAATAAATCCTTTAGAAAACATCGCTCGGTTAACAAGTCATCCAAGGTTAAAACACTCCTTTTTAGGGTTTCATTAGACTCTAATATAATAATAATTAATGGTGCTTCTCCTTCCCCATCGGTCTCGAGTTTTCTCATCCCTAACAATCTCAAAGAGTCATTCAAACTTGTAATGGTCAACTGGACACCTGCAAGTCATTTCTATTAAACAGTGAATCTCTACAAGGAGAGGTCTTGTCCGGTTACATAGAATAACTAAAGCAAATATAAAGGGGTAATATTGGGTTTTTGAAAATATTTAGCCACACATGAAATCACATGCAACTGGGTATTATTGTATTGCTAATGGAGAGGAAGGCTTTATTACACGGGAGGTCTTAGTCCATGTTGAAAAAAAATGGAATATCTTAGCATTTAAGATAAACTTCAAAGGGAGGCCCAAGTCTTATGTTTAGTATTTTCTGGCTTCATGGCTCATGTGGCTATATAATAAGGGATAATCTAGTGTTTTTGACCCGCCATTGATCCAGTTGGTTGAACCATTCAAATGGTTATTTGACTAGGATTTTGAGTCTGATTTAGTCAAAATCTCGTCAGATGGTTATAATTATTGATTGTCTATATATGGACTTTAAAAACATGTGGAGTAGTCTGATCCATTCAACCTGGATGGTCGAACCGGTGACCCACAACCTGAAGGCAAAACAGTTCAGCCTCGGAGTTGGTTTTTAAAACCAATGTTTTCAACTTGCCATTGACTCAACTGATCGAACCGTTCGAAACATCACCCAGCCAAGATTCTAGGTCTGGTTCAATTAAGATTCGTCAGACAGTCAAAAACTGTTGACTTGGTCAAGAACTGTTTGACCTGGCTGGTTCGTCCCGGTGACCAAGGTCACTGGTTGCACACTCAATGCATGCAAACTTTTCAGAGGCCATAACTTTGCATTCCAATGTCCGAGTGGAGTGACTTTTTTTTTATTTTGGATAACTTTTTGAGATCTATGCATCCCAAGGGACCTTGCCCCTCTATTTTCGCAAAAAAAACCCTTTTTAGCCTCAAATTGCATTTTTTTTAATATTTTTAATAAATAAAAAAAAATTAAAAACTGAATTAAAAAATATAATTTAAATATAAAATAATACATATAATATATCTAAAACATATTTATATATTATTAATTACTAAAATATATATTAATACACACACACACACACGCACACACACACACACACACACATATATATATATACTTAATGCATATATGTGCTAACATGGCACGATCTGAAACATTCGACCTGGTTGGTCGAACTAATGACCCACAACATGGAAGCAAAAATGATTCAGCCTTTGCGTGGGTTTTTAAATCATGGGATTATATCAGATAAGGGCAACTTTTGGGCCCTAATATTAATAAAAGTAATATATTTAATAAAATTTCAAAAATAAATTAACTTTTTAAAAATAATATCATAAAGGGGTAGAGTTATTGTTCATCTTCTTCCTTCTTATAGACTATTCATCAGAGCCGCCTGTTGCCACCTCCGACACACCTCTGCCATCGCTTCCGCCTCCGCCTCTGTCCACCATCTGTAAATCTAAGAAGAGGGGAACACTCATTTCCTCCATTTTCGCTACTATAGAGACGCACGCCACCGACAACAGCTGTAGAGACCACCCATTCCCATGCTGTTCGTTTGATGAAACAATAAAAAAATGGCGTCAGGTGTCAGATTTCATTGACATGAGAAGCAACGTTTCTAGCCATAGGCCCACAGAAAACAGGGGAAAGCAACGTTTCAACATCTGGTTAATGGCGTCCCGTCTAGCGGTGGCATCAATCGAACGATCGAGAAAGCGTCGCTGATAGTCGGACACTGGCAAGTGGTGGAGTTTGGACTTCAGAGGATTGAGAAAGTGGCAACAGTTAAAATGCTAGACACCGACAAGAAGAAGAAAATGAACAGTACTTAGAAGCATAAATTAGGCCACGTACTGTAGCAGAATCCCCGAGAAATCATATTCATAATACTCTGAAGTCTGAAGCGTTTTAACTATTAAAGACACAACAAATATGAGAAGGGGAGGAGAGGAGGAGGATCAACTGTTAAAGACATAACAAATAATCAAACACCGGCAAGAAGAAAAAGATGAAGAGTAACTTTGCCCCTTTTTGATATTATTTTTAAAGAATTAACTTATTTTTGAATTTTTATTAAATATATTACTTTTATTGATATTAGGGCCTAAAAATTGCCATTATCCAATATTACCCCTTAAATCATTAATCCGTCCCCTCTCTTAACCCCCCAACCTTGGTGGCGGAGAGATTTGATCCCAAATTTCTAGTTTGATGAAATTCTACCAATTAACACACCATTAGTTGGTAATATACTGATTGACTATCAACTTTGAATGTGTATACAACTAAGTCTCCGCTAAGCAGACGGAATTCAATCCCAAGTCTCCGCTACAACCAGCGAAACACCTTACAACATAATTTGTGTTTTCACATCTCACGTTAAAACTGAGACCCACCATATGACTAAAACACATGTTTGAGATGTGTGGGATCTGTGTCAATACATCTTCTTATAATGATCACAGTCTTATAATAAGATGGGCAGACACGGAACATGTTAACAAAGACTATTTGGATTGTTTTTTGGTTGCAACAAACCTAATCTCTCTCCATTTATAATGTATTTTGAAGGACGCTTGTCAGGAGTCAAAGATTTCAAGGGTTAAGTACTCTGCAATCCAATGCAGAATTCTGAATGACAGTCCCTATAATCTATTAATAGCCCCCTTCCATAAATCGCATCCTATCCGTGAAATTAGTATCAATTCACGGTTAGGATTCTGTACGGTGAGACTACAAAATTCTAATATGGACTCATCAGTCATTCTCCTAATTTTTAATTCCCGAATCCGAATTCGGATTTGCTATTCACACCAACCTCGCATCACATTGCAACCGTGCATTGGGCACATCTCTTCATGACTAACAAGTAACAACATATAAATATAGGAGATGATCCCGCTGTGCGACTGCAACTGCTGTGACTTGTGAGGGTGGCGTTGGAAGCCGCGTTGGTTCTATAGTGGACCGTTGTGAGCAGCAAATCCGAATTCCCCAGAATCCCTTTTGTCAATTGTCATTAATTTCGTCACGTACACGATTGGGCATTGGGCCTCATCGGTTCGGGGACTGATACGAGGGGTTAGCTTCTATGCTTATATTATGATCCCTTATTTATAAAAACCGTTGCTCCCAATATTCTTTCTTCGATATTCTCATCATATAGCCCCCTCTGTAAACCACATCCAGCTTGCAAATTTAGCATCAATCTACGGGCAGAATTCATCTGACTTGTACGATGGGTCAGATTTCTGAGGTGGATTATAAAAACCCCTTTTATCTAAACCTAGTCCGAGTTCCGCAGTTGCAATTTGCAAAGTCCAAAATGTCAGATATTTTATTCAGCTGTATGTCAGATTGTTAGATACTTATATCAATCCACGTGTCATTTATCAGACGCCTATAGTTTGGCGTAGTTGGGATCCCAATCCCAATATACTTCCAACATGATCCGTGTCCCCACATCTCATACACGGTGGGTAGTCGTAAATCGTAATCTTACGGTGATGCGTACCGTTTACTCTCTCTTGGGTCTCTTGGGAAGGGAAGTTGGGATGGTATGAATCATATGATCCTCATCTGCTCGGACGTTGTTGTGCTTTCCAATTCAGTCAGTGAAAGAAGTTGGGATGGTACCGTTTACTCACATCGTTTGAACAGCCTCTCCCAACCTTGAGAATATCTCTCCACGTGAAAGAAGCACATAATTATGGAGATATTCCTAAGGCTGTAAAGATTGTTCCATTTAATCGAGAAAGTGTATGTGCTTGTACTTCTCGATAACAACGACGAAAACACCAAGCACTGAATATCTCTGATTTGTCCATCTCTTCTCTTCGATTCTTCCGTCCTCCTCTTCCGAAACTTGCGTAAGCTCCGGCTTCTATCACCATGACTATTGTTTCTTCATCTCAGAACCAAGGTGCGCATCTCACCACTCGAATTATTCAGCTTTTTTTCTTTTTCTTTTTCTTTTTCTGTTCTTCTTCTATTATCAACAGAAACACAGAGAGCTTGTCAGCTTTTGCTTTCAAAGCAAAGGCCTTTTCTTGGAACCTCTGTTTCGATGAATTTTGATTTTTCGTTCCATTCATAAACTGATTGATTTAACAGAGCAAGTTAACGAGCTTTGTATTTCGTAACCGTATCCATTTCAAGTTAGTGAGTCAAGGAGCTTTTATTGATTAATGGATAACATGTTTGATTTTTATGATTCACACCGTTAATTGAAGGTGTATGAAAGACGTGATACCTGAGGTTCCAAGAAGTTAATTCATTTGCTATGGGAACCTTGGTACTTTCCTGTGTTTAGGAAGGCATCTTTGATGAAAATGGGATTTTTCCAATCAGATCGGAGGCTGAACGCTCCGTTGTTATTAACTGAAAAGCTTCAATCCTCCATGTTCTATCTGCTAGCCGGCATCAATTAAGAGAAGATCCAGAAAAGAAAAGGAAAAAGAAGAAAAAAACTTTCTTAAAATGCTAATTCAATTACACCAGTCCCTTGTGTTGAGTCAAGTTATAATTCTTTTATGGCAAAGGATTCCTCCTAACTTTACCTAATATACAAATAGTGAATACAGGGATGCTTTGAAATTGAAGTTACGACCTTTTGTCATTAAGAATAGTTAATTCTCATCAAGTTTGCGACAAATTTGTCTTTTTGTATGGGTAAAGAGATATGCCTAATTAAACCCTTGAAATAGGATGTGTATCATTACGGTTTTTCATTATCAGTATTTTAATGCAAAGTTTTCTTGTTTTGAATTCCTTTTTTTTGTCATATACGTGATTCTGTTCTGATTTGCTTCTTATAGTTATTAGCTTCTAATCTTTTAGCGCTGCTTGTGGCTACCTATGGCATTAAACATTCTGGTTTTTCCTGCAGCTTAATTAAATAGAATTGTTCCTTTTTTGGATAGGTGAAACTGTGAAGAATTACAAGAGTTCATATTTTGGATTACCAGCGTTGGATGTTTCTGTTGCATTCCCGCAGGCAACTCCAGCATCGATCTTTCCCCCCTGTGGTAAGATTAATGCTCATCAGTTATAAATGCTAATGTAGTGTTGTTGTAGGAGAAAAAATTGAAGAGAAATCACCGAACTGGTTAACCAGGGTTAAATTCCATTTTTCTAGAAATTTATTATTCTTAGAGAAAATAAAAAAAAAAATACAATATATATTTACTTTGAAAGTTAGATCCTATTTTATAAGGTTTAGTTCCTTTGACAGCCCTGTCATCTCAAGTTGGTACTTCTGTTATCAGAGAGCAAATTAATATTTCATATTTGTAGCTTCGGACTATTACCAGTTTGATGATTTGTTGAATCCCGAGGAGCAGGCCCTCCGTAGAAAAGTTAGGGAGGTTATGGAAAATGATATAGCTCCAATAATGACTAAGGTATTGCTTCATTNCCCCCCCCCAATTTTTTAAATGTTTGAATTCTTCTATCGTACTATTTCATTTTTGTTGTTGTTCTTTTATTATTGTCGTTGCTGTCGTTAATAAATTCTAACCACAATTCTTAGGACTTACTTTTAGATATTAAGCTATAAAGACTTTCCTGTTATCCTGTGCGTGAGAATTTCAATAAAACTTTATCTTATCTCCCATATTTGGTCTTCAGTACTGGGAGAAGGCAGAGTTTCCATTTCATGTCATACCAAAGCTGGGTTCTCTAGGTATTGGTGGTAGCACAATTAAGGTATTTCAAGTCCATTGCATTCCTGGTTTTTTAGTTCAAAATTTGTGGATATATTTCTTAATTGTTATTGGTAATTAGGGCTATGGGTGCCCAGGCCTCTCCATTACTGGAAGTGCTATTGCTGCAGCAGAAGTTGCCCGGGTTGATGCAAGCTGTTCTACTTTTATTTTAGTGCATTCTTGTTTGGGGATGCTTACAATTGGTAAAGTCTTGCCATTGGTGGTTGTTTTTGTTGTTGTTTTCCTTGATGTACAAATATCAGAAATTCAGAAAGTTTATAAGCTGGTAAGAAAAACGTGATTTTATATAATATGTCCCAACATCAACAATAGGACTTTGTGGGTCAGAGGAACAAAAGCAGAGATATCTTCCTTCATTGGCACAGTTACATACTGTAGCCTGTTGGGTAAGCTGATCTTATTTAATGCAATATATAGATGTTGACAACAGGAAGTTATTTGTTTATTTGTTTTAAGTACTTAATCAGTTTATCCCCACCTTAGGGTTTGACAGAGCCTGGCATTGGAAGTGATGCAAGTTCTTTGAAAACAACAGCAACAAAGGTATTTATCTCCACCTTTTCTTTTTTTTTTTTTTCTCTTCTTCAAGTGTGATTTATGACTTTATAATCCTGTTTCTATTCAATTCAATATTCAAAACTGTTAATATCTTCCATGTTCTCCCCACAATTGAGAGGAACAGGTGTCTCGGGGATGGGTACTTGATGGCCAAAAGCGATGGATTGGAAACAGTACTTTTGCAGATGTGTTGGTTATTTTTGCTCGGAACACAAACACAAATCAGATAAATGGGTAAATAAATAGTTCTTCAAATTAATAGTGAGGAATTTTAGCATATAGATCACTAGAACAAACAGATGCTACCAGTAATCCACCTGTCCCTTGGCATGACATCTGTAGCATTTTGATGATGCTCCGAGTTGAAGTCAACAAGAATTGGCACTAGCACTCATAAAAGAGATATCAAAAGAAAGCACACATTTAAAAAAAAAAAGGACTTTTCACTTTGATAGTCTCATTTTATTGTACTTTTAAGTGGTTATGCATTTAAATATTATTTATTCCCATGTCACTGCCATGATTTTGGAGGTTTGCATGCCAGATACCTGAACACTTGGTATCATGCAACATACAAGGCAGCATTCTGGACAGTTAAATATTCCACTAAATGATCCACAGAATCTGTCAGTGATGTTTAGCCAATGCTTAGGAGAGGCCCCGTTGACACTTCAAGAGTGAGGTTTCTAAGATCTATGGTTTATCAATGCTTAGAAAGTCCTGACAGTGAGAATGGGGTTTCCACAGCTCAGTGCCCTAACCTATCTAAGGTAGTGCCTGAATCTGTGACTCTAGACATATAAGAAAATTTTCTTTTTTGGAGAAAGTTCATCTTCTAGTTCTCCATTCCGGTTTGTTTTCAGCAAAACTGTGATGCAATCCTGATCAATTTTATATTTCATGCTGCAATTGTGAATGGATATGGTCTCCAAGCCAAGTTGCTTTCCCAAGATGTATACTGTTCTGATTTCCAAGATGTGAACCACTGACAACATGAGAGAAGGAAAGGATAGACTCTGCAGGAACCTTAAAATAAAAGGGTTGCTGCATGCATAAATGTGCTTAAGTATATATATTAGGGACAATGGCAGAGCCAAGAATTTTCTTTTTGGGGGGCCAAGTTAAACGAGAATGTGAAATAGGGAGTAGAAGAGGTAGAGTTTCAATAGAAATGAGGTGGGAAGGTTTGGGTCTAATACGGATTTTTTTTAAAGAAATAAACTTTTTTTTTTTATTTTGGGAGTTGGAGTGTTAGAGTGTGATCCTTAACATTTCAGTTCAAGTTCTTGGAGGGGCCAAGGACTCACTTCACGTTTTTAATTAAGCCTCCACTTACTAGCTATATAAGTGATGGCTTTAACAAAAAGTTTGGGGGGCCAAGGACCACCCACCAATATACTTGGCTCCACCCCTGAATAGGGAAGAAAACAAGATAGAGTGAGACTTACTATAGCCTCTTCTATATTTGCATGGAATGTTCTCACTCTTGACTTCATGATGGTGCTTTCACACTCTCGATCTCATTTTGCAATTGGGAAAATTAAGTCTACAACACCCTGCACATGCACCATACCAATGGATATGATGTCTGTGGAAGATGATAGGATTCACAAAAATGGTGAAACAGGGAGCTGCAGGCTAACTAATGGGTCGTGTTCCAATTGCAGAGTACTTCTGTGCTATGTAATTTTCATGGTCTCATAATTAAATATTTGTGCACATATTAATGCTTAAAAGAATAGGATTCAGGAAAGTGAGATCTTGTACCATCACATTAATGAATATGTTCATTTATTTACAGTTTTAATTTGAGCTAATAGGGGTCATTGCTTGGTAAGTGGTAAAACCTCAGGCTAACAAGTTTGAGAATCTGAGTTGGAGTCTAAGAGAAGACACTTCATACAAGAAAATGCCACTGGTTTGGTTCATATCCAGTCTACCCCTCCCAAGACCTAGCTGGATTACTGGACCAACATTGGGCATTTGGCCCTTTTTATATTTCAATTAAGCTAGTCCGAATTTGTGGCCATTATGTTCAATATGCATTCTGATGCAGCCTTTTAGCCACTTCTTCATTGGTATTTGTATGCATGCACGTACATTCTTCTCCAATAGCTTTTACTGCTTTCAGGTTTATTGTCAAAAAGGATGCCCCTGGGCTAAGAGTTACTAAAATAGAAAACAAGATTGGTCTAAGGATTGTCCAAAATGGAGATATACTGTTAAAGAATGTTTTTGTCCCTGATGAGGACAGATTGCCTGGTGTCAATTCTTTCCAGGATACAAGCAAGGTATGCCCATCGTTCTCTTATTTTATTTTCTTTTCTAAGACTTAATATTGATTGATCATCTATGAGATATGGCATAACCTCGATATCCTTGCTGTTGCGTTTATAAAATTTTTTCCTTTTCTGACAAAAAAAGAAAGTTTTAAAGCAGGGTGGTTGAAAAGGTTGAAGTTGAGGTTTGCAAAAATTAGGTTTGTTTTTTCTAGGAGGGGAAAAGTTTGTCAGAAAAATGTTCTTGGAATTAGAGGAGAAAGGAAGAAGTAAAAGTTCTTGATCCTAATCTAGAAGGTACAACAAGCAGTCTGAAGAAAGTTTAGTTGATAAGTAGAGGAGATGGGTGTCAGATTGGAGAAGGGTGAGGGAATGATTGTAGAGATAAGGAAGGCCAGTGGATTCTGTTGGCATGCTCTAAGTGCTATTTTTGTCTTTGGAAGTGGGTAATATTTGGTTGAAAGAGATGAGGGGGACTTTGATAGTAATTACAGGGGGTCCAGATGTGGAGTATGAATATGATGCCTTGGGGGTGTTAAGAGTGAGTATGGTGGAGTTTCAGTTTTTATCAAAAAGAAACAGACACTAAAAATCATCTAATTTCTTTTTCCTTTTAAGTTCTATAAATCTGATTCATGGAGAAATTGAGACAGGATCCCCTAAGATTTTCTGAAATTTCAATGCAATAAAACCTACAGGCAATAAGGATCTCAAAAAAAAGTGGTGATTATGGTCATAGTTTTGCTATAGTTATATGGTTTAACTTTATACAAGGGAAAACAACTTCTAATAGGACTTTTTCCCTTTGGCCCTAGCAGTCTTCATTAAATCCCCATTCCCACCGTGTACCTAGCTTCCCTGACCTGAAATTGCCTTGGCAGGGACGGGGAGTGAATTCCCCACCCCACCCCGCCCTGACCCCAGCCCTGATTATATATATCTATATATCTATATATTTAAAATATTTATATTTTAAAAATTCTCCTTTATTTTAAGTAAATCTATTTCCCAAAAAGTTATATTTTAAAAATTTTGGGGATTCAGGTCCCCAACGGGGAACCCATCTCCATTGGGGATCGGGGTCGGGACAAGGATTTGTTTCAAAGTCGGTGTCGGGGATGGGGAGTATAGTCCCCACCCGAACTCACCCCATTTCCATTCCTAAAGACACACAAAAAGTCCTGAAACTAATAGGATGTTAAAGCAACTCAAATATCCCCAATATAGTAATTCATGCCATACCTTGTTGGTTGGCTGTAAATTGGCCATAACTTACTTAATATATGTATATGACTGAAACTGTGAATTAGCAAATCTAGGGCTTGCTAGATAGGAAATGAAATAAACTTTCTAATGATGATAAAATCAAGCCAACTAAAGAGTTTCAGTACCTGAATCTTATTCCAATAATGATAGAGTTAAAGCAGTTTTTTTATCCAGCTGTTGGTTGAGGTCCAGGTGATTAAGTGATTTGCCTATCACTTTGAATATTATTTTCACTGCATGTCTAACATTTTTATATATTGTTCTGTTTTTTATTCCTAAATTTCCCCTGAATTTAGTTGCTCCTAACCACCAGAAAGTGAAAACAGGTTCTTGCTGTTTCAAGGGTTATGGTTGCCTGGCAACCAATTGGCATTTCAATGGGGGTCTATGATGCATGCCACAGGTACTACATGTTATGATTTTCTAGTAGTTCCTTGCTATATATTGATGCTTTGTTTTTTCAGGATGGCTTGCTAACATGTAAGAGACTGAAAATTAGGTATTTGAAAGAAAGGAAACAATTTGGAGTTCCATTGGCAGCATTCCAACTTAACCAAGAGAAACTTGTTCGTATGTTGGGTAATGTTCAAGCAATGTTACTGATTGGCTGGCGCCTGTGCAAGTTGTATGAGAAGGGAAAGATGACACCTGGCCATGCCAGTTTAGGAAAGGTAAAGTTGTTACCCCAAGGCAATGCATTTGGAGGTATTACTGATTGCAATACCAAGCAATGACTTGTTTTTGAATATTTAGGCATGGATTACGTTGAGAGCAAGGGAGACTGTTTCTCTTGGAAGAGAGTTACTTGGTGGCAATGGAATCTTGTCCGATTTTCTAGTTGGAAAGGTTTTTACAACTCCATGCTCTTTTCAGACTTATTCACTGATATCTTCACTGGATTTGTGCTCATATTACTAGTAGTGCAATATTTTCTGCTTATGCTTGCCATTTTTTCTAATTGTTGTTATGTTGGCGTAATGATAAAATCTTTGGCTGAAAAGCCTAAGAGCATGGATTCAAGGCTGTCTCAGCCACATTGTGTGAAAGAATGCCAAATGTTAGGTGCATAATCAGTCCACCCCTCCCAAGACCCCTGATAGCTTTATCGTGTTATACCTGCAAAAAAGGTTTAAAAAAATGCTATATGCATCAATGAAGAAAGGAGAGGAAAATATCCTTTCTAGACTCATTGTAAGTCTGAAGCATGTTCTCACCAGTCACACACATTATATGCAGAAAATGGAATCACCACCCATTTTTAGAAGTTCAAAGAGAAGCCAATCTTTTTGGGAAAACCTTCGGCAAAGAACAGGGGAAAGAAATAAAGAAAGCTGTCACTGCAGCATCAAAGCAAGTACAAAAAATTTATAGGCCAAGGGATATTAGGAATGAGGATGTAATCCAAGGGAAACTTTTAAACTTTTGACTAGAATATTGAAAATTTGTAACTAGTTCTGGCCTTTGGGCATGAAAATATAAAGCCCTTTTGTTCTATCACTGCAATTATATTTTACAGTTTAAGAAACTGATTCTTCCAAAGGATACGATCTATAAAAAAGATTCGGTACATATTTATTTATTATTATCAGGTTGATGTCCTAGAATTCCTGCTCGTAGAAATAGTTGTGACAGTCTCGACTAGAATTTTAGACTTGATAATTAGTCAGATCTTGTGTTTTTGACTTATGGTATGATGTCATGTTCTTTTTTTCAGGCATTCTGTGATTTGGAGCCCATTTACACGTATGAGGGCACTTATGACATCAACAGTTTGGTCACGGGGAGGGAAATCACTGGGATTGCGAGCTTCAAACCAGCTGAATTGAGTAAGCGCAGTCGCCTGTGATGGACTATGACCTACATGGACTCTGATCTCGTATTTGGTCTATTCTGGTAAAAATAAATGTAATGCAGTCAAAAGTTGTCATTAATTCTTCGATAACGTTGGCAGACAGAATAATAAGATGGAAATTGGAGATTTCCTCCAATCCTTTGCCATTTTGTATCATCATTTGTGTTCGTCCTGGGTGGTCAACGGAATTTTGCAGCTTTCTTCCTATATTTTCTACACAACGAAGGTAACCCATAATCCCCTAACCCTAGTGCGGGTGGGAATTGGATTCCACTTGGGATCTGCCACCCACTAGTTGTTCCCACATATCTGCCCACAAAACACCGCCACCATGTATTGGGAACATCTCCCCATGACAAGAGAGATATCCCCTTTCCCAGCCATAATATCTCGTGGGTAGTAGATCTGACGATCTCAAGTCTCCACTACGACCAGAACCAGTTGGAGACCCTTACCAACAAGCCAGTTGGTACATTTTTGAGCCTCTACTCTCTTTAAGTCAAAAAGGGAAAAAAGATCCATGTATTCATTAAAAAAAAATGTCAATGGATTGGACCAGCCTGACACATCCAACACAACCCAATTATATAGGGTCTGTCTGTATTATGTTTCTCAATTATAATTGGGTTGGAATCGATTTTTGTTCAAATTAATTATACATAACTGTATATATAATTATGGGTAAAATGTGGAAACTCTCCTCAAGTTTTTAATTATTGTTAAAACCTAGTTTGATAATTGCAATTACCTCCCCTTAACTTTATATTATTTAGTCACAAGTAGAACCTCTTTTGTTAGAATCATCTAAAAAGAGACAAAAATGTCTAAAATATCCATGCAGTTATTTTTTACCAAAATGTTTATTTTCCAAATTTCTATTCATTTGAATTACTAGCCCAAACCCTTCTAATCTTTTTTTCTGAAATTGATTTGTTTTTTCAAATCTGTCCCTTTCATATCAATGGCTTAGGCTCAGTTGGGAAAGAGTACAAATGCAAATATGTATAGTACAACTATAAGTACATACAAAATAATACAAAATATAAGATTTTGCACTTTGCATTTGTACTCCTTCCAGGCTCAGTTTGGAAAGAGTACAAATATATGCAAAATAATTCAAAATACAAGCTTTTACACTTTACATATTTAAGGCTCAGTTTGGAAGGAGTACAAATACAAATATACACAGTATAAATACATACAAAATAATACAAAATACAAGAATTTGCACTGGACATATTGCATTTATACTCCTTTCAAACTGAACCTAAGTAAAGCTACAATTTTAAATTCTCTCTTTTTGTTGTTATTTATAAAATTTGTATTATTTGTTCTATAAAAACCAACCTTAATAATAATTGCATTAATATTTTGAACATTTCCCTGCCTTTTTTTGTTAAAGGATTCTAATAAAAGGGATCTACCTACACCTGTGTCATTGAAGGTAATTGAAATTACCAAAGTTAAGGGGAGATTTAAACAATGGTTAGAAACTTGGGGTAGGTTTCAGAGATTTACCCCATAATTATATAATTATAAATATTGGCATATTACGATTTACAAAGGTGGCTCCGGTGATCTGCTTTAGAAATTAGAATTTACTTGTTGACTGAGTATACCCTGACCCAACTCAGAGTGAAAGTCATTACAATAGGCACGTTAATGGACGAAAGCATTAACATGTCTCGTTTAGAATATAGCTCATCTCTCTCTCTCTCTCTCATTAAAAAAAACTTGTTTCAAACAATGTTTGGCTGGATTAAGGAGCATATAAATATAATAAAAACCAACACCATAATAAATAATAGGAATAAGCTGATGATCGCCGAGAAGAAGCACTGGCACTGGCGGCAGGCCGGCAGCCAGCTAGTAGAACCGTGGAAACATAAAATAATATTTGTATGGGTGGATGGGTAGGTGGGTGGCAAAGGGAGGAGTGTGAGTATTGAGTAATGTCTCAGTTCTTCCGACCACCGCCGCCGCTGCCGCTGCCGCTACCTATTTTATTCCTAGGGTCGTGCTCGTGGCTCGCCGAAGGCTCTCCGTAATCGTCGATGTTGGTTTTCAGGTACCTCCTTCCTTCTGTCATCACCATCCCCACCCCATCATCTCCTGCAGAACAGAACCAGTTGGTTGTTTTTCATTAGCAATTATTTGTTTATGCATGAATGATGCATTAATTCTCAGAAGCCAGCAGGTCTATTGAAAAGTAAAATAAAACTACGTGCTCATGAACTATACATCTGAAATCTGAAGGAGAGGGAAAGGGAAAGGGGTTGCTCATGGACTACTGTTAATATGAGAGAGAGAGAGTGAGAGATGATCTTAGGTTAGGTGAAAGGAAAAGGAGCGTACGTACCAGCTGGCTGAACAAGAAGGACGGTGTTGCGGGCGGAGCACAATATTATCGCGAAACCCAAGCCAAAGAAGACGTACCACCACAGCCGAATTCCTACCGCCATCTCTCTCTCCGGAGGAGGATCTCTCGTCTCTTCCACCTTTCGCGTTGAACGATGAAAATGGACGACACAGCAAGATGAATGAATTTATTTATATATAATAGAAAATAGACAGTAGATTAGCAGGTAGGGCTGACACCTTGTGAAAACCTGGATTCCACTCCAGCCCAGAAAATAGAACCTCCATTTGTGGTCAACTCCGAGATGCCTGTCGTTTTTTCCCCTCTCCCAGTCTCCCTACACTTTCTAAGTTGTAGTACATCACTTTCTCAGATAAGTTTTTTTTTTTTTTTTTTCTGTACCTGGGGGATTTTCCATCAATCTGCATCTAGCTTATGTCCTTTCCTGTAGTAAATTAGAATCTTTACACAGCACTACAGAGAAACCATTATTCATTAGAGTGAAAATTAGGCATCAACCTCTCCCCCCGTCCTTGATTCTTAAACAAAAAAGAATGCCTATTAAGTCTATAATATCTAAAAAAACACATATTTATTGCTATCCAGTATCCACCACAGGGAAAGGGGAAAAAAGGCAGAGGGAGTGAAAAGCATTTTCTCTCCAAAACAACTTTCTCTCTACCCTCAAAAACCTTCCACTCATCGAATGACCTAGTGGGCCTTCCACTCCTAAACCAATGCTGACACCATGTGTTTCTAAATCTTTCCCACTATCAGTTGTTTGGATAACTTGGCCAGGTGTTTGATCGGCCTTCATTGATCATCACAGTGCGTAGTTCCCCAATTCTAATTTGGTCAATTTGCATTTGAGCAGCCACTTTGTCCAAAAGTATTGTCAAAGGTTTAGGAGGAACGTATCCAGCTCATTCCTCCTAATACCCCCCAGACAGCAGAGCCCAACATTGGGTGACGGGCCTCTTTTATGCATCTAAACAAACAAGCATGGCTGATGGCTCAGCGTGTGGGTGGTTTATTTATTTATTTTTTTTACTTCTTTAGCGCCAATTGTTTTCGGGCCTATAGTCTCTATTAATTGTCAAAGCTGATTATTCCATTGAGAAATTGACGTGACGAAGGGGAACCTTGTTACAGAAAAAGCATTGCTTTGTTATGTGGTTCACTTGTTATTATAGCCTTCTTATTTATACATTTTCTTGATCAATCAAAGGAATGATAAATTTGATCATTTGATCAAGTCATTATTTGAATTGGTTATCCGTATGGCAAGCAAAAAATGAAGAGAGAAATCATGGAGAAAAGTACTTTTGAGATTTTTTTTTTATAGAAATGTCTTAAAATCTAAAAAAAAAGGGAAAGAAAAAAAAAATAAAAAACGCAAGCCAAGCCTAGGACCAACCCAAGTTTTCTAGCCTAGGCCCAGATCAAAACCAAAAAAAAACCTCAGGTCCAATCCGTGCAAAAGCTTAAATTCTATTGGATATTTGGATCTTCACATTGGGCCTGTTCAAATTGTAGCCCATAGAAAGTTGATACAACCACTTAATAAGACATGTGAAGTAATGGAACCTCATGTAAAAATGCCATCTGTGTCAACTCATGGACAAACAGTTACACAGTGGAGGCCCTACCTAACATTTAGTCACAGTTTGATACCACCACCACCACTATCACAAGGAAAAGGAAAGAACACTTTGCAAAGCAATAACGTTGTTTGATAACATCGAGACCAACTTTGATCAACAAACACTTAGGCTGTGTTTGGTTTGAAGGAAAAAGTAGGGAAAGGCAGGGAAACCCTTACAAATCTTGTGTGGGTTTCCCTACCTTTTCCTTCAAACCAAACATAACCTTAGCAAAGCAATAACGTTGAATACTCGGCTCATTCCAGCAGTCAATCCATTCCATTTCTTGGCATGTGAGTGAGACAATCCACTATGGGTATTGTAGCGGCCATCTTTCAAGTTTGAGAGTGAGCATTCTCCACTACCAAAATTCTCAGCTCTAAAAGCCACCCCCCTTCTTTCCCCACCTTCATTCACCGCATCGGAGCAAACTGACCTAGCTACCAACGGTCAGTCAGACTAGTGAGTAGTCCGGCAACCATCAATCATCCCCCGAACAAATATATATCTCCACCGTTCCATAAGAATCAACAGAAACTTCGTTAAGGTAAGGAAAAGACTGATTCACTACAAAATAGCTAGCTTAACATACTCATAGTCATAGGCATAGCTTAACCCAAAAGACAATAACTCAAAAGTAAAACCAAATTTACATCAAAACCCGCCCAAATACTGATTCACTAGAAAATAGCTTAACATAGCGGAGACCATGAATGATAAATCAAAGTTTTCACTAGAACAACATGTAGATCAATTATAGTATAGAAAAAGTAATACCAGTATTTACATCGCAACCTATCAACGACACAAGCATTAAGCGCATGGGGCACCATGGAGCCTCGAAAAGCAGCAATTCTGTCTATATGCATCAATAAATCAAATAGATATTGCTTAAAAATAAGACCGTCATCAAATTTTTCATTTTGCTGATTTCAACTTGAGGTAATAGTAAGTACTAAGTACTAAACAGGATTACAGGATCAACAATTCCACCTATCATACTCACTTTTACAAACTTGACCGACAGTACACCTTTCATCAAACATGAATGGTGTCAGTTCGTAAGGACGCCATAGAGTAAGCAGCAGAATAAAAGAGAAAACGAGGGAGTTGCTTTTTAAGTAAAAAGAATTATTTCACATCTATCGTCATCTTTTCTTAAAGCCATATTTTTTACGTTCATAGAAGAGATCTGTTTTAGCACTCCCCAAATTGACGATCTTTGGACATCCATCCCTATCCTTCTCCTGCTGAGTACACTCCTTGCAGTAGTAGGCATCAGATATCCCCACGCCTCCACAGATCACACATCGTCCCTGGAATGACCCATAATTGCATTCATCACAGACCCGCACAAGGGTACAAGGTCGAACATACGAGTCACATATTACGCATTTCCCATCACACTTTTCACAAAGCCGTCCAATGGCAATCCCTGGTTGCTTCCTGCACATTATCAGATCTGGGTGATGTTTGGCCATGTTTTATCACACACTCCTTTAGTTCCTCAGTTGTACCTGCAATATTTCATAGCACATCATTACACCTCCAATCATCTTCTTAACAGCATTACAATGTTAAAAATAAAAAGAAAGAAAATGCATCAAAAACATGGATTAGGAGAATGGGGAAGACAACGAGGAACTAAGAATTTGCTTCATTACTTCACATTGGTGTGACACTGTGACATGTCCAAGTGTTAATATTTAATCAGATCAGATAAGCATGATCATTCAAATCTATGCAGATGAACATTCATACCTTTACTGGGATTCTTTGGCATTTTTGCCCGACTATGACAATGAATAGTTGTTATTTTTGCAACCACCTTTAAAGATTTCATTTTTTTCTAGGAAGAAGGAATTCAAAGAACTCTCGTTGAGGTAAACAGAATGCCAGGAAAACTGAACTAAGTTGGAAGTTAGCCAGAAGATCTGTCAGTCCATTAGCTGATCTCTCCCAATGAACTCTCACTATTAAGTTGCAAGTTTTCCATTTGAATCTTCTCACTGCTCCCCTAAAGGACCAAGCTACAGTCTCTGGCTCCTTCAACCACCCAACTACCAGTTTAGAATGGCCTTCAATTAGCAAGCTCCCAAAGTTCAGCTCTCTAGCAATCTGTACTTCCTATAGAACAGCTTGAACCTCTGCACTAACCACATTTCCCAAAGCTGAACTTTGGGAGCTTGCTTAGAAAATCTGTGTAGTGATAGGATTCCTCCTTTGTAATCTTTGGGGTTCTCCCCTGCTTTGTACATCCTCTAATGTACTCCTTTTTTATTTTAATGAAATCTGGTTAAACTTTTCTCAAAAAAAAAAAAGAATATAAAGCAACAATTTGACCCTTTACATTTCTAAAAACTCCTTAAATACCAAAAGGCCCAGGGTTACGAAGGCTGCTACCATCAAAGTTTAGTTTAATAAAACCTTCTTCAGAGGGTTTCCACAGTGCTATAGGCTTGCCCTTGACCAAGGAAGAATTTGCAACCAATTGCCAGTTTCTCCAAATGTCATCAAAGGAGAAATGTGAGAAAAGATCCAAAGTTTTAGGCCAAAAGACAGCCCTGTTCAACAAGCAATACCAAACAGTAGTATGATCCCTTTCTTTCCAACCAAACTGTCCAAACCACCTGAAGGTAGCCAGGTCAAAGAGTGCACCAATCTGCAAAGGCATTGTCCACCTGTATCCAGAAAGACCAAAAATCTTTTCCCAAAGTCCTACAACAAAGGGGCAGGGAATTCGTAGGTGGTAACAACTTTCTCCATTAGCTTTGCAAAGGAAACACTACTTAGGAGAAATACTCGTAATTAGGTCTTCTCTTTTGCAAGTTATCCAAGGTGTTTAATTTTCCAAGAGAAACCTCACAACAAAGGGCTCCCACTTTTGGGGGATTGGGTTTGGACCAAATTTCCTTACAAAAGAAAAGTTGGGAGTTAGGGTCAGAGAACAAACAAGAAAAGAAGGAAGCACACGAAAACAAGCCCAGAGGATTAGGAAACCAGATACGATTTTAAAGTGATCCAAAGAAACTGGGTCTAGAGTTTTGAGAAGGAAAGCAGCCTGGTCAAGGCTTTGAGTCTTTAAGATCTCTTCTAAAGCCTGAGTTCCAATTGATACCTAACGACTAGGAGGACATAATCATCTAAATGGGTTCATTTTTAAAAAGGGACAAAAAATACAAAGATGGAAAAAGGTCCTTAAGAGTGGAATTACCAATCCAAACATCCCTCCCAAAAAAGAATTCTATCTCCTATACACACATCATACCTGATAAGGCTTAAATATTGGGGAAGAATGCCATTAATAGCCTTTCACAGAGAGTTCAAAGTGGCCCATCAAGAAACACCAACATCCCAACCATTACTTTCTTTTGAGCAAAGGTAAAGTATCATTGTATTGATGTAAAGGTCCTCCGTACAATGAGAAGCTGTACACACCAAAACAGAAGGACCTCAAAAAAAGTCCATCCTCAAAAAATTACAATCAGATGTGTCCCCTTTAAATTCAGTAAGTATAGACAACCAACTTCTAACAAAACCTACAGCCAAATTGATGACTTCATCTACAGTAGAGGTTTTAAGATCAAAGACCCTGCTGTTCCTTTCCATCCAAACCGCCCACATTATAGCTAAGGGAATAGAAGATCAACAAATCTTTCCTTTCTTAGTCATCCCTCGGATCTGCCAAAGCCTCAAAGCAGGCTTTAACTGAGGCTGGCGTACACCAGCTTACCTTCAGACTTCTTAAGAAATGGCTCAACATCTCTGAGGCAAAAATGCAGTGTAAAAACAAATGGTTTGCTGATTCTGTTTCCCCCCCACAGAAGCTACACCTTAGGTCACTGCAGTTAAAACCTTTTCTTACCAGCATCTCTTTTGTGAGACATTTCTCCACGGCTGCCCCCATACAAAAAACTTTACTTTGGAGGGAGCTACTGTCCCCCAAATGGCCCAGCTTGGAACGGGGGTTTCAAAACCTCCCCTTATGGCGTTGTAGAAGGATTTAACTGAAAACTCCCCGCTTTTGTTCCCTTTCCACACTAGTGCATCCCCGGTCTGCAAATTCAAAACCTGGGACTGAAGCAAAACCAAGAGATTCCCCACCTGCTGAATCTCCCAATCATTGAAGTCCCTTCTAAAGGTTGGAGTCCAGCAAAAAGCATTATCCCTTAAACAAATGTATCTGCTACCACTGCTTCTTTATCTTCAGCCAAATTGAACAGGGTAGGAAACATATCCTTAAGGGAATTCTCCCCTGTCCAGGCACCCAACCAAAACTTAATCCTTCTCCCATTCCCAACTTTAAATCTAACTTCCCTTCTGAAAAGGTTTGAAGCTTTGCATATACCTTTCCACAGACTGCACCCATAGGACATGGGTGGACCACTACCCCAACCACTTTCATCCAGCCCATATTTTTCTGCTATTACTGTTCTCCATAGATTGTCAGGTTCAGCAGCAAACCTCCATAGCCAAATTCCTAGCAGAGCTAGATTGAAGGATTTTAATCTCCTTAACCCCAACCCCCCTTGAGATAGGGGTTTACAAATCTGACCCCAGTTAACAAGATGATATTTATGTGAATATTTCCATCCCACCCACAAAAAGTCTCTCATCTTTTTTTCTAAAACCTCTGCCACTTCCGAAGGGATAGGAAATAGGGTCATGAAGTATGTCGGCAAGCTTGCTAGGGCACTCTTGATAAGTGTTACCTTTCCACCTTTGAAGAGATACCTTGCTTTCCAAGTGGCCAATTTCTGTTCCATTCTTTCTATTATTGGATTCAAAGTTGTTTTTGAATTGCATTTGGCTTCCAGAGGCAATCCTAAATACTTTGATGAAAGCTGACCAACCTTGCAGCCTAACAAGTCTGCCATACCCTGGATATTAGAAACATCACCCACAGCTATTATCTCACTTTTTGCTAGGTTTACTTTCAGACCTGAAATAATCTCAAACCAGTAAAGAATGTACTTCAAATTCAGAACTTGCTCCTCTGAAGCCTTGCAAAAGAAGAGAGTGTCATCAGCATATGGTAGAATTGGAATGGCAGTCCCATTGGGCTTCACCTGAAAGCCTTCCAGCAGCTCCCTCTCCACAGCTCTATCTACCAACTTGCTTAAACCTTCCATTTCTATTAGAAAGAGAAGAGGACACTACGGGTCCCCTTGCCTCGAACCTCTAGAACTGCTAAAATTTCCTTTAGCTGTCCCATTTACAAGCACCAAGAATCTAGGGGGTTAAGTAGCAGACCTTCATCCAATTCCTCCACTTGGAGCCAAAGTGCATTCTTTTCAACAAATAATCCAAGAAAGACCAGTTAACATGGTCATAAGCCTTCTCTAAGTCAATTTTGCAGATAGACCACTTCATCCACCTCTTATTCTTGAGTCTAGTAGTTCATTAGCTATGAGAACTACATCCTGAATGTGCTTGTTGTGGACAAATGCCCCTTGGCACATAGAGATTAAAGAATCCATCACCTTTCTTAATCTGGTGGCCAGAATTTTAGATAGGATCTTGTAGACACTTCCAACCAAGCTGATTGGCCTAAAATCTTTCAGCTCATTTGCTCCTTTCTTCTTGGGGATCAGTGACATAAAAGTTGCATTTAAGCTTCTCTCGAGGGCAGCAGAATCGTGGAATTCCTCCAAAACCCTTAGTAAATCAGCTTTAAGAAGCTCCCAGAACTTCTTAAAAAACAGCAATGTGAAACCATCTGGGACCGGCGCCTTCTCCCCTTCCAAAACTTCTATAACCTTCTTTACCTCCTCTTTTGAGAAGGGTTTTTCCAGTTCCGAAACCTGCTCCTCAGTCAAACAGTTAAAGATTAGACCATCCAGTTGTGGTCTTCTCTTGCAAGGTTCCTTGAACAACTCTTTATAGAAACAAACAAAAGCATCTGCTATGTCTTTCTCATCTTGTACTACCTTTCCTTCCACCTCCAACTTTTGAATAGAATTAACTCTCTTTCTTGCATTGGCCACCTTGTGGAAAAAAGCAGTACTACTATCACCTGCTTTCAGCCACATTGCCCGAGCTCTTTGCCTCCATTTGACTTCAGCATGGTGCAACATAGCATCTAGCGTCTTCTTAGCAATAAGCCTTCTTCTCCTTTTCTCCTCATCTAAAGATCCATTCTCCTCCTCCGCATCAATGTTAGCTATTAATTTCAAACACTCTTCCCTTTTTTCTCCCTCACTCTTCGAAGTCACCTTTTTTTTATGAATGAAAATAATTTATTAAATCAGAATATAAGGCAATACAGGAAACCCATGAAGAGGCACGAGCTGTTACCTCTTCTAACAAAGTATTACATCAGTTAAGAACCGGATAAGCAGAAATAAAATTACATAGCAGCCCAAAAAACTTTTGGATGAGGGGAACAAAGTCTCACATCCGAGCGAAGAGGGTCCAGAAAGACACTGCCAAGAAGAGACAACAATTCTAAAGCACTACTAAGTTCAACATCCCTCAAACCTCTCCTAAAACCAAAATCCCAGCTTAAGGAAGAGGG